ACTTTGTTACTGAAGCAGTATTGGCTCGACAAAAACTGGGATAGGAAACTTTCTTTTTTTGCCTGACCAACTGTGAATCATGTGTTAGATGCGTGGTCAAATTCGAGTTTTGTCTAGTAGCCATGCCAAACATACAATAAATTATTGAATTCACTTTTTTTCTTTCTACTAATGCTGGCCTTTGCTGGTCGGAAACTGATTGATCACTAAACAGTATAATGTCTAACCATCCTTTTCTACTGATTAATGATTCTAACTTTGCGTGGTCATCAGGATATCTAACTTTCTTCTAAAATACATGAAATATTTAACTGGTGTTTTTGTTAGTTTTCAAATAATCAATGAAATTGTCATATATTTCATCTTTAAATTTTTGTAAGACATTAATTGTGGATTATTTTACATTGTTGTTGTTGATGATGAAGAAGAGAAAGAAAACTACAGCCTGAATGTACTAAGTATAGTTTCCATAGCAAATAGGGGTTTTTATAAGGTGAAATTGTTAGCTCCCAACACCTAGCCAGTTTTGAATTCAGAGTTGCCATTCTTCTAGAATATTTTTTATCACAAAAAAGCCACTAAGACACAAGTGTTTACAGGGTGTGGAAGAATTACAGTAGATAGTGAATGACATTGCATTTAAATGTCTTCAGATTAAAGTTGGCTGGAAAGCATGGAGCTGAAAAGAAGTTCCACAAGTGAGAAGAAGCTGTTAGCATAGAATTTATGGCTACATCTAGCCAGCTCAACTGTAAATTGATGAGATCTCGATGCCAGTTGTCATCCAAAGCTAAAGAGTTCAGTTTACCTTGCTATTGACCCCTAGAAAAAAGAAGAGACAGATTAATACTTTTATAGGGCCATTTGTGTGAAAGTGAAAGTGAAAGTAACAGCCTAGGTTAGAATTTGAAATTGACACAGCAATTCCACTTTCTGTGCCAATAACTGTTATGCTACATGCATAAATATTGGTTTTAGTATAGTATTTCATAATTAATAATTTTGCTATAAACAATTTTAATATACTCAGTACTATTTTGTCAAATTGATACCATCTAGACAAATGAAGTTGTTAAATTATGGTTGGAGAAGTTATTTAAATATTAATTAAATAAAGCAATAAATCAAATGTTATGTGTTCATTCAGAAGATGTATAGACAGTATAATGGTTACCAGGACAGAAAGTGGAATTATTGAGCTGAGTTCAAATTCCAGTCTAGTTTGTTGCATTCACTTTTACACAAATGTTCTTGAGAAAGATATGAATCTATCTCTTCTCTCCTCCAGCTATGGGTTAAATATCAAGCTAGACTGGGCTTTCCAGCATTTGATGGCAACCACTCTAAGAGAAGGAAAACTCTGAATTCCAAGCCATGGAGAAAGCAACAGGAAACAGGTCCACTATCTTTCCCAAGAAGTTATTGTCATTTTCAGATATTGAAGAAAAAGAAACTGTGGAGAGCCATGATAAATGTGCATGTGTTTAAAAAAAAAGGTTTAGTTTGTAAGGTGATGGTCAAAGACTCATTTAGGTAGAGTAAAATTGATTTTCTTTAAGACAATATTAGAATTCAAATCCATATCACTGTGTATATCTTTATGTGCAAAAATTGAGATATGAACAGATATATCTGCAAAAATAGATGATATTAATAGAAATACATGACAAGAAGAAAATTTAGTTTTGCAATGTGTCTTCTTCCTTTAGGAACTTCATCAAAGACAAATGCAGAAATTTACAGAGAAAAACCTGTACCTATACACACAGAAAAAGTATTGCTGATAAAAAAATAACATTCAAGTTCCAATATTATTGAAAAATCTCTTCATGCTATAGAAAGGAAAAGAAACTATGGAGGGTGCTAAGTGATATAACTTTGACATGCTGCTAAATGAAAGTGAATTAATGTTGTTGCTGTTATGTTTTTAAATATGCAATGAGTCAACCATTTTCCTTTATTGTTTGAATGTTTTTATCGTATATAAATATGGTTGTTTTTTTAAATATTTTTTTTACATTATTTCTTTTTAATTTAAATGTTATTTTTAGTGGGTACATGTGTTTGAGTTGCTATCCCTGTTTTTTATTTTATTAAACAAGGAAATTAATAAATAGATGAGTAGATGAGAAGTCCTACTAAAGAAAAATTGTGCCTCCAACAGGAATCAAACCTGTATCCCTTTTGCCCATCAGTTGAATTACTATACTTTTATTTTTATTAAACAGGGAAATTAATAACAACCAGTGTAGATGAGAAGTCCTACTAAAGAAAAATTGTGCCTCCAACAGGAATCGAACTTGTATCCCTTTTTTCATAGTAGCTTTGTCTAAAAAGTGGTTTCCCCTGAAGGAAAAAAGGGAGACAAGTTGAAGCCACAATTTTCCTTTAGTAGGACATCACAATCTAGGCCAGTTGTTATTAATTCCATTGCTTAAGAAAACAAAGAATGGGGATAGCAACTCAAATACATGTACTGACCATAAATAACATTTATAGTAATAAGACAAAATATGGTTATATATGAATACCTTTATGGTCATATATTGGGTGTAACAGCAAAATTGTCCAAATGGTGTAACAGCAAAATTGTCCATTTGTTAGATTAAGCT